AGCAAGCGTGGGTGAGCGTGTTGATAGGAGGGGAATGGAGACGAATGGTATTGGGCCCGACGATCTGTTTGGGGTGTGACAGGGGATATTTTGTGAAGGGATTTTAGGGAAACCGGTTATTTTTATAAGTCGGGCTTGAGTTGGAAAAGGGAAAATACAATGCCTGCACTTTTAAAAGGGGGGGTTTGGGGTTTGGCAGTTTGGAGGGGTATTTGTGTATCTTTTATGGGTTGCTTCTAGACTGTTTATTCTGGACCCCTGCAAAAACAGTGATAATGTCGAGTGTGGTGAAAAAGGTTTTTAAGATGATGAAAGATTTTCTTTTTGGGGGGGTTTTTTTTTCTTTTTTTGGGTACCCTGCCTCGGGGGGAGAAAGGCCGACTTGTTGAAAAAAAAAAAAAAAAAAAAAAAAAAAAAAAATTTTATATATATATATATTATAAAAATATATATAATTATATATATATATATATATATATATATATATTTTTAATATAATAAATATATAAAATTATATAATAATATATATATATTTATATATTAATATATATATATTATATATATATATATATTATATATATATTAAAATATATATATATATATATAATATATTAAAATATAATAATATATATATATAATATATAATATATATATTATAAAATATATATATATTAAAAAATATATATATAATATAATATATATATATATATAAAAATATATAAAAATATATATAATATATATATTATTTATTATATTATATTAAGGTAGTAGGTTGGTAGACACAACCCCAGGGGGTACTACCGTCCTGCCAGAGATGTGAAACAAAAACCGTAACTGTTTTTCATGATGGTAGGATTGCTGGGTTTTTTTTTCTGCTCATAAACATGCTAAATAACAGGGATATCTTTCTACTCCCCACTTACACTTTGGTCACACTTCACGACACCCCATGCATATATATATATACATAATCTAGGTTTTTCTCCTTTTTCTAAATAGTCTTGTTTTTTTTATTTCTTTTATTTCCATGGGGGAAATGGAAAAAAAAATCTTTTTTCCGTAAAACCCTTCGTGCGTTTAGGCGACTAAAATGCCGGGGCAATGGGGGTAGTAAACCCCCTTTTCCTGTTTACAATTACTAAAAAAAGAAGAAAAAAACTTTTTAAAACTGGGATGCTTAAAGTGGTGGATGTAGGCGGATGACAAGAAACAGTGATTGCTGTGTTATGAATGAAAAGAAGTTGATGCCCGGGCCCCAAGCGAAACAACTGAAAGGGGGGAGGAGAGTTTCAGTGGGGGGGAAAAAATGGGATTAAATCGGGTATCTGAGAGAGTTAGAGCAAAGGAAAAGGGGGGCGTAATGTTTAAAGATCAGTTTGGAAGGAGAAAGAGAAAATGAATGGTAAATTCAAAATTATTGGATTAAAGTAAAGTTGGATCGAGAAATGGGGCATAATAACGTTATGCACCCCGGAGAAGAGAGGGAAAGAGAGGAGAGAGGAGATTTTGGGGATTTAAGTGAATTATAGGACCTTTGAACCAATGAGGAGTAATTGTGGTAGGGGGGCTTGAATCTAAAGTAGGAAAACTTTTTGAGAGGGTGTGGGGGTAAGTTTGGGTGCCCGGGGTAAAATGATAATGGGAGCCCTTTGATTAACTTTGTTAGAAAAGGGGGGTTTGTTATAGGTAATACATATTTTAAGAAAAAAAGGATAAATAATTTTCACATAAATGTAGGGCGAAATGACAGTAGTTTTTTGGATTAAGTATTGGTAAAAAAGATGTTGAGTAGACTTTTAGGATGTACATGTTTATAGAGGGGGACAGATATATCAGACACTTTTAGTTGTAGCTACACTGAAGTAAAAGGTAATGGGATACAAGGAGAATAGAACATCAGGGAAGAGAGAGGTGAAGGGTTTTTAAACAAAAAAGGGGGGCAGTTTAGGGGAAAATAAACATATTGGAGGATAGATGGGAATGAACAAGGGAATGGGGTCGAAAGGTATGGGGTAGGTTTTAAAAATGTAGTGTTAGAGTGTTCAGCAGAAGTTTGTGGTTACAGGAAAGGGTGGGAGGAGGGGAAAAGGGGCGATTGGTGGAATGATAAATTTAAAAAGAGTAGTAAGGGAGAAAAAGTTAGCATAGAAATTTTTACAAAATAAAGTGATGCAAGGAGGGAAGAGTATTGGAGAAAAAGAGAGGGTTAAGAGGGGTGAAACAATGTAAAAAAAAGAGCAAATGAGAGAGGGGGAGATGTTTTTTCAAAAAATTTTGTGAAAAAAGAAAAGTTTTGGGTGAGATTAACAAATTAAGAAAGCCTAGAGAACAAAAGGGTTTTCTTAAAAAAAAGGAAGGGGAGTATTAAATGGAGAGTTAGAGGGATTGGGGAAAATGGAAGGAAATTTTGAGGAATTGTTAAATGTTGATGAAGAAGGGAAGCTGTGATTTCGTGATAGGGGAAGGAGGAAAAACTCTTGAGGAGTGAGGAAGAGCCATTTTGAGTGTGGGGGAAGTTCGGAGGGGGTAGGTAAAATGAAAGGGGTAAGGGAGCCGGGATTGATGGGATAAAGATAGAAATGTTAAAAGCAGGTGGGGATATAGTTTTTTGGGGGGTTGGTGAATGTTTAATAATGTATGGGAAAAGGGTAAGGTACCAGGGATTTGGCAAAAGCATGCATAGTTCCTTTGTATAAAGGCAAAGGGATAAAAGAGAGTGCAAAAATTTAGGGGGGTAAGTCTGTTGAGTGTACCTGGTAAAGTGTATGGTAGAGTTATAATTGAAGAATTAAGAGTAAGACGGAGAATAGGATGGGCAGATGAACAAGGAGGCTTTGGGAAAGGTAGGGGTGTGTGGACCAGGTGTTTACAGTGAAACATATAAGTGAACAGTATTTAGATAAGGCTAAAAGGGTCTTTGTGGCATTTATGGATTTGGAAAAGGCGTATGACAGGTGGATGGGGGGGCAATGTGGCAGATGTTGCAAGTGTATGGTGTAGGAGGTAGGTTACTGAAAGCAGTGAAGAGTGTTTTACGAGGATAGTGAGGCTCAAGTTAGAGTATGTAGGAAAGAGGGAAATTTTTTCCCAGTAAAAGTAGGCCTTAGACAAGGATTGTGTTGTCACCGTGGTTGTTTAATATATTTATAGATGGGGTTTTTAAGAGAAGTAAATGCGAGGGTCTTGGCAAGAGGCGTGGAGTTAAAAGATAAAGAATCACACACAAAGTGGGAGTTGTCACAGCTGCTCTTTGCTGATGACACTGTGCTCTTGGGAGATTCTGAAGAGAAGTTGCAGAGATTGGTGGATGAATTTGGTAGGGTGTGCAAAAGAAGAAAATTAAAGGTGAATACAGGGAAAAAGTAAGGGTTTTGAGGATAACAAAAAGATTAGGTGATGAAAGATTGAATATCAGATTGGAGGGGGAGAGTATGGAGGAGGTGAACGTATTCAGATATTTGGGAGTGGACGTGTCAGCGATGGGTCTATGAAAGATGAGGTGAATCATAGAATTGATGAGGGAAAAAAAGTGGAGTGGTGCACTTAGGAGTCTGTGGAGACAAAGAACTTTGTCCTTGGAGGCAAAGAGGGGAATGTATGAGAGTATAGTTTTACCAACGCTCTTAAATGGGTGTGAAGCGTGGGTGATGAATGTTTGCAGCGAGGAGAAGGCTGGAGGCAGTGGAGATGTCATGTCTGAGGGCAATGTGTGGTGTGAATATAATGCAGAGAATTCGTAGTTTGGAAAGTTAGGAGGAGGTGGGGGGATTACCAAAACTGTTGTCCAGAGGGTGGGGAAGGGTTGTTGAGGTGGTTCGGACATGTAGAGAGAATGGAGCGAAACAGAATGACTTCAAGAGTGTTCAGTCTGTAGTGGAAGGAAGGCGGGGTAGGGGTCGGCCTAGGAAGGGTTGGAGGGGGGGGTAAAGGAGGTTTTGTGGTGCGAGGGGCTTGGACTTCCAGCAGGCATGCTTGAGCGTGTTTGATAGGAGTGAATGGAGACAAATGGTTTTTAATACTTGACGTGCTGTTGGAGTGTGAGCAAAGTAACATTTAAAGAAGGGGTTTTAGGGAAAAACCCGGGAGGCCGGACTTGAGTCCTGGAGATGGGAAGTACAGTGCCTGCACTCTGAAAGGGGGGGTGTTTTAAAGTTGCAGTTTAAAAACTGTAGTGTAAAGCACCCTTCTGGCAAGACAGTGATGGGAGTGAATGATGGTGAAAGTTTTCTTTTTCGGGCCACCCTGCCTTGGTGGGAATCGGCCGGTGTGATAATAAATAAAAAAAAATATATATATATATATAATATATATATATATATATATATATATATACACAGTGGACCCCCGGTTAACAAACTTTTTTCATTCCAGTAGTATGTTCAGGTGCCAGTACTGACCGAATTTTTTCCCATAAGGAATATTGTGAAGTAGATTAGTCCATTTCAGACCCCAAACATACACGTACAAACGCACTTACATAAATACACTTACATAACTGGTCGCATTTGGAGGTGATCGTTAAGCGGGGTCCACTGTATATATATATATATATAGTATATATATATATATATATATATACATATATATAATACATACATACATACATACATACGTATGTATGTATGTATGTATGTATATATATTGTATATATATATATATATATATATATAATTATATATATATATATATATAATATATATATATATATATATATATATATATATATGTATATATATGTATATATATGTATATATATATGTATATATATATATGTATATATATATATATATATATATATATATATATATATATATATATATATATATATATATATATATATATATATATATATATATATATATATATATATATATATATATATATATATGTATTATGTATGTATTTTACTTCAAGTTCAAAAAAAAATATTTTTTCACACTGAAAACTGTTAAAAGATATTTAACTCAAATCAAACAAACTACACAATTATGCTGACTTACGCTGATAATTCCAGGAAGATCAACAAGTACCATTCTCTGCAAACCAGGCCCTTTCACTGTCATCGAGATAACTTCATGACTTACTGTGCGTCCTGATCTTACACTGTTACGCATCCTTAACTCCACCTGAAAATTATAATTCACATTGTTACGGCACTCAAATATTAAGGACTTTTTTAACAAAACAATTACAATGTACAGTGGTACCTTGACTTACAAGTTTAATTCATTCCATGACCAAACTCATAACTCAATTTGCTCATGTATCATATCAATTTTCACCACTGAAATTAATTGCAATACAATTCATCTGTTTCAGCCCCCAAAAAGCACCCATTTTTTTTTGTTATGGGTTTTTAAATAAGAAAAATGTATTTATAAATAAGAAATGATTTTTGCCTTTTTTGCCAAGTCCCAGCAATGTTTTAGAAATGCTGGAGTATATGTGAAACTCCTTGAAGTACTGTGTAAGATGAGTGTCACTTCACTGCTGACAGTGCAGCAGTGGAGTGACATTTGATGATCGTGCACTGCCTTGGCTTTATTTTCACTGTTACACATAAACAGGTCTATCTGTTTTTTTCTGTCTACCGGTTGGTTTCTATTTGTCTATCTCTGTCTAGCTCTGTCTGTGTTTATCTCTGTCTCTGCTTATCTGCCTTTCTGTCTGCCTGTGTTTTTGTCTTCCTGTCTCTCTACTTGTCTCTCTGTCTCACAGAGAGCTGCTCATGAACCAACAGGTATTACACACGATGCAGAGTCGTCAGGTAGATGAATGGTTCAGAGAACTGACAAGTTGATAAATTAGACACATGTGCAACATTTGGGTATCTTTAATGAGGAAACATTTTGCCACACTGAGGCTTCATCAATCCATACAAAGGAGAATGGTGAAGAGCAGGAGGAGTTTGAGGTAATCAGTCCCTCAGCCTTGAGTCGATGTGATCAGTCCATCAATCTTGAAAAGATACCACCTACGACTGCTGCATCTTTCCTGCCTACAGTATATAAGCCACTTCCTGCACATATGCTGTATTCTTTTCAAGATTGATGGACTGATTACATCGACTCAATGATGATGAACCGATTACCTCAAACTCTTCTTCTTCATCATTCTTTGTATGGACTGATGAAGCCACTGTGTGGCGAAACATTTCCTCATTAAAGATACCCAAATGTTGCACGTGTCTAATTTATCAAAGAGTCGTCATGTCTGATTCCTGAGCAAGTGAAAATGTGTATTACTTGCCAGTCATGCTTATTATGCCTTATATCTACAAGCATAGTACAGTATAGCACTTTGTCTGGATTTTTTTGGTTATCCTATGTAATTTACACTATGTATAACTGTATTTATATGTACCTGTCAGATAGAGACAGAGATAGACAGAGAGACCGATAGACAGAGACAGAGATAGACATAAATACAGACAGACAGAAGGAAATAGAGACAGCCAAAACAAATCAGCCAGCCAGCCAGCCTACTGAACATGTTTTACACATGTTCCAGACAGGGCCAGATTAAGAAGTCTCCGGGCCCTAGGCTATTCAGATTGGCGGGGCTGAGTTACGGGCAAACGAAACAACCCCTTCCAGCTTGGGGGGGGGGGGGTCAGTGTGAGCCTGTTTAAGGTTTAATTAAATACATTCTGGCTATGTAGATTAAATTTAATAGGGAAAGTACATCAAGACAACCAAAACCCTTTACCAACAGCCATTATAACTATCTTGTTAAATCATGCATTTTAAAGAGAATAAACTCAAGACAGCATAGTATTACTAGATTAGGCTATTAAAGTAGTGACATCATGTACCTATTATATTCAGCATAACCACTACAGCACTATTATTCCCTTTATAAATCACTGACCATTATTGTTATCATTGCATCATGCATAAGACTATCAAATCATATAAACTCAAGAAAGTAAAGAATTGTTTATATTCACAGGCACTTCTTAAATAAACTTTTTTCTGGATTTCATATTGGCAAAATCATCAATTATATTCTGAAAATCAATATTTCTTGTTAGATCAGACTCAATGGTCAACAAGGCTAGGTTACACAATTTGTCTTGGCATGTAGGAACGATAACCTGAACAACGCCTGTGTACAACACCGAAATTCCACCAATCATCTCATGAAATTCAGAGACGCCCAATTAGTGATCAAAGAAACTAATTTCCGCAGATGCAAGTGCCTCGAATCAGCACTGATCGCTGTTTCGAATACAATTAAACAAAACAACGGCAGCCTCACCATCTCCGAAGTCTTAGCAAGAATCCTCCTGAAAACAGTAAACCCTGCCATCACATAGTCTCTCCTGTTATACTACACAAAGCACAGAGAGTGAACACTGAAACAAGCTGCCTCATTCCAGTTTATATTTGTCCCACCTATTTTTATGTTACCCAAGTAATAGCTTTTATATCCTTTTACTCATGTACGAATTAATTGCTCTACCATATTGTATTACTTTTGTCACTACTACTACTACCACTAGTGAACATCGAAATGGTACCTTACTAGTATTCACCTCACTCTGAGCCTTTATATACCCTCTGTGTCCATGTATTGTTTGTAATGGCTTGATAAAGCTCCTGGAGAGCGAAACGTTGCCACAATAAATGTCACATTAGTTGCACTTGTGTCCTTTTACTTTACTAGAAGCTTTCTTGGGGCCCATGGTGACTTATTTTGCAGGTACAATCACTAAAAACGCTGTGATAATATGAAATGTTCCGATTGTATGCATGGATGCGACCGCACTTGCTGGCTTTTAAACACTGGCACCCACGGGGCAGCTGAGGCGCACTCAGACGAATCACGTAAGGTGAGTTTCTTAGCATGAGGCGAGGCAAAATTTTTGTGTTAAAATGTATCGTATGCCAGGTTTAACGCATGCCAATGCCATCGTGTGCCGGGGGTCCACTGTACTTACATACTAATAATGATAATACATAATAATTACGTTTAATATAATAGTATAATACTAATGCGTATAATTTAGTTTGACAACACCACCACAATGGTCACCAGTGCACATGTGCTTACGGAGCTACCCTCGCAGTGCAAGGAATTCTTGTGATTTTCATGGATGATTTTCATTGAATTAAAGCAAGAAATGATTAATAAGCACAGACAAGGTACGAGGGTTGAGGGATTGGCGAGCTGAGTACAAGCGTAGCCCCTCGACTATGTGTACCTACAGGTTTAGTGCTTCCCCATGATTATAATAATAATAATAATAATAATAATAATAATAATAATAACAATAACAATAATAATAATAATCTACTATATGTACAATACTAAAGGAGGAGTCTATAAAGGCTATAGCGTCAGCAAAGGGCATTACAGTAATTTCTAAGCAGTGGACCTCTGTCAAATAAAAAATTGGTAAAGCTGCTGTTAACATGGTTGACAGAGAAATAGCTCACAGGAAATAGGTAATGTAGAGAGATAAACATAAAAACTGTACATAGCAGTTCTTAAGAAAAGTGTGAACTCCTGCCAGGATATGCCGCTCTGCATTTCTTCTCCAAGATAAGCAAATGTCGTATGTACACCAGACCTAATTCAGTTAGCCTCACAAACTCCGTTTTCTCTTATAACAACACCTCTGACGTTTTCATAGCGAGAATGTGCGACCACTCGCGACCATCCTACCTCTGCTGTCCATGTAATGACATATTTTATTCATTCTAGTGTATATCAGGTTTCTATGTTATTTATAATGTTTATTATGTCATATTAGATGAATTGTGACAGATAAATAAGCCGTAGAGTTGATATTAGGGTTATTTTTGTCATGCCTCCTGAGAGCAGGAATTCAGTTGGAGCGAATTAATTGCATTTCAATTAATTTAAATGAGGAAAATTGACCCAGCATACGAACAAATCGGGATACGAACAAGTCCACGGAATGGATTAAATTCGTAACCCGAGGTTCCACTGTACATTTTAGACCAACAGCAACACATTAAACACATTAATCACTATAACTTTGGAAAATTAAAGATTTTCCACAATAATAAGTAACAATAATTAATAATAATAAGTAATAACAATTAATAATAATAATAATAATAATAATAATAATTAATAATAATAAGTACTAATTAATAATAAAGCAATACTAATACTAATAATAATGATAATAATAAGTAATAATAATTAATAATAAAAAAGTAATACTACTACTACTACTAATAATAATAATTAATAGTAATAACAATCATCCTGTAGCGCTTTAAAAGTCGGCTACCAAACCTATACGAAATATGTATGACATTTAACTCTTTGACTGTTTGTCATATATATACGTTTTACGAGCCACCGTGTTTGACGTAAACGTACTCATAAATTCTAGCGGCTTCAAATCAAGCAGGAGAAAGCTGGTAGGCCCACATGTGAGAGAATGGATCTGTGTGGTCAGTGTGCACCATATAAAAAAAAATCCTACAGCATGCAGTGCATGAGAAAAAAAAACTGACCGTTTTTTTAAATTAAAATGCTGACTTTGTGGTCTATTTTAGTATAGTACTTATGGTTGTATTCTTCTTTTCTTCGTCTCATTTGATAGAATGGAAAACTTATTATAGAAACAGAGGTGATTTTGATTGGCTTTTCTATGAAAAGAACCTTGAAATGGAGCTCAAAGTAGAGGAAATGTTTGATTTTTGCCAATGTTCAAAAGTAAATAAATGATGTCATTGTCCAATAAATGTCCAACTAGCCATTCTAATATGCAGTTATGAATGGGTTGACATTATTTATAAAATGATTACAATATTGCAGTTGCCAGCATAACAGTAAATCTTCTATTTTTTGTTTGAATGAAAATTCAAAATAGAAAGCAAGAGTAATATCCGAGGGGCCTGGAGACATGACTGATGATCAAAGAAAATGTTGTTTTAGAGCCAGAAATGTCTGCACTGTTCATTCTGGACCCTATTTTGAAATTGTCATATTTTTTAATTTGCATGAAACTGCCCAAATTGCAAATTTCTGACCACGTTATTGGGTAGTTGAAATCAGTAAATGGGCAGTTTCTTGTACTCAATCAATTTAAAAAAAAGAGTTCTAAAGAAACAGCTATGAGTTTGATTGACTAGAACAATGG